CAGTTGCACCGTATTGAAGGCTGAGCTGGACACTGTGCGTGAGGAGCTCCGACTAACCCAAGGTAACTGTTGGCATGAGCAGACAGTGGCTGTTCTATTGTGGTGCCATGGGTTGCCTTTCGGGCCCTCAGGCCCCTATATTGTGACTGCATGGAATTGGTGGGTTCCGTATAATGCCCGCTCTTGGGAATGCCAGTGAAAACAAGACTCACACATAGCAAGTCCTACTGTCTCCTTCCGTCATAATGTCCAGGAGCACCTGCCATGTCAACAACGCGTTGATGCTGAGTGATGTAGCAGATGCTTCTAGATGCTATGGCATGAAGTGGGAGACCCCCATGGTGGCATACTCCAGTGGGGTGTGTGGTATTGTCTTTTGTATTACTGTATTTTGTGTTCATATGTTGCAAACCGCCCTGTGAGCTGTAGATGAAGGGTAGTATATAAATTTAATAAATCGGCATAATCCACACATCACTTTGCATAGAAAAGCAGAATATACATTTAATACAGAGTGTGTATTAGATATAGTATATGTAAATTTAAATTTAATTAAATAAAAATGGCACAGCTTGTAACACAAGCAAAGAACAGATGATGTCATGGTATGATGATCTAGAAAAGGCTTTGCAGAAGTGGATTTTGAACACGGATTTAAAGCAGGGGAGGCAAATGGTGAGTAGACAGTGATTATTCCAGACATAGAGAGTGGCACAATAACAGGCAGAAGGGGAGAGGTGAACAATAGCAGATAAAAGGAGAGATAAAAGTTAGAATGATAACAGATGAGAGATAGAAGTTGAGAGCGACGAACTTTATACTTAATGATTTTCACTCTAGGGTTTTAAAGCTAGTGCAACAAAAAAAGGGAAGGGTGTGAGGTGTATATTATAAGACTTCAAAAAAGAAAGAAAGAGATTATTGACTAATGAAAGATGGCAGAAAGGAATGTTTTGGGGGTGGCCAACCTGTGCCCCCCGCCAGCCAGCACAACCAATGGTCAGTGTTTGTGGGAGCTGTAATCCCAACATCCGCAGGACCACAGGTTAACTACCACTGTTCTAATCAGAATTGTTGGTAATGCTGCCTGGAAGTCGTACTGACTGCTCCATCAATGAGGGTTGTTATATTTATTTTGTTCATTTGTACAGCTTCCACGCTATATGGGTTGAGTGGTACCTCTTTACAAGACTTATCAGAGGCTCTTGGCACTATTGTGCACATCCTCAGCAACAGGAAGTCACTGTCAGCAACAAACACATCCCAGAATGTTGCCGAAATTCCCAGCAGGCCAGTATGGCGAGAGAGAAATGTAAGTCTCCTCTCTTTGCTATCCATGTTTAGAAGCAAACTGTTATTTCCATGTTTTCTACCTCTCATTTTTTCCTTTTCAGCAACAAACGCTTGTTATCATGCCTCTCTCCATACTGATAAGTTTGAATAATTCGTAAAATGTAGGCAATCTAGCCTGAAGAGGGCTTACTGGTTCCCTTTTCTCTTGGTCTAGATCAGGGTTGGGATCAGGCCTGTGAAGAGCTTGTCTGAGGCCTCGGGTGGGAGTCTTGTTAGATTAAAGTTATAAACTCAACCAGAAAAGCAGTCGCTCCTTGGAGGGTCCGCCCAACCAGCTTAGTCCTCCAAAGCCTGGGAAAAGTGTACCTGGCTGCCCCACCCTGTTCTGCACTGGCCTGGTTGGGATACCTGTGGCCTTCCAGCTGTTGGATTCCCATCACCCCACCCAACATGGCGATGGTGGGAGCTATGGTCCAATAACATCTAGAGGTCACCAGGTTCCTCATCCCTGCTCCAATACAGTGCCCTCACAGGATTGCTTGGTCTGCTCAAACTGGGTGGCTTCATTGAAGCTTGGGGAAGGCAACCAGTGTGGGAGCAGACCAGGCCAAAGTTTCATTCCAGAAGTAATTATCCAGGTACCAGATGAAAAAGACAGCCGTCAGGACTCTGAAGTCTTCTTTTAACAGTTTGGTTTCCTCTTGTTTCTTAATGAGAAGTTAAAGCAAATTTCTGAATATCTGGTATTGGATACTTTTGGGAGATAGAGGACAGATTGAAGCAGTTGAGGAATGTTGAAAGTGACATTGGTTTCTGGAAAATCTTTAAACCATTTCTACTGTTAGTTTCTGTGGTAAGTTTTCATTTCCTGAATGTAATATATATAAAACGTTTAATTGGATACTAACTTTGCTCTCTCCTCAGCATTTCTGAAACATAAGCTGAGCATCAAGAAATTGAGCATCAAGAAATTCAGCAGCAATATTGACGTTAGGATGAGGACCTGAATTAAAAGGAAAAAGCTCCTTCAGCTCTTGATTGTCTGAGACAACCAATCTTGCTACATTCATTCTCTTTTGTCCCTGACCCCCACCCTTAGCATATCATGTAAGTTGCTCAGACTGCAGCAGGCTCTAGAACTGAAGCTCTTTGCCAGCTGTGGTGCAAATGTTGACTGTCATTACTGTCCTTCTAATGTTACTCTAGGATTTGTTTGTTTTTATACTGTAGTACCTGTTTCTTTCCTGCTTAGCTCTAAATAAAGCAACTGGGAACGTTTTTGTATATTGTCTGTGGGCACTAAATAGCATGGGTGTTGAGACAATTGGCACAGATTCCAGTTCAGGCCTTAAGTCAGAAGTACCTGAATCAAAGGTGCACACTGCCTCCAGAGGGAACACTGTACTAGGCAAAGGCTGTGAAATGGTCTAGTTTAGTCTTTACATTTAGTCAATTTTTCATACCTTGAAAGTTAAAAAAAGAACCATGGACTCTGGTTCTTACCATAGTGCTTGAAAGTATGAGCAAAAAAAGGCAGGTGTGGAGAGAGGAGGAGAGATGATGTGAACACATAGTTAATTTCATGGTGGCGATGGATAGTTTCTTATGCTGTTTTACGGGTGAGGGGAGAGAGAATTGACCCACGGGCAACATCTCAGTGCCTTAAGCACACCTTCATTATCTGAACTGATGTAGCTGTCTTATGCAAAGTTGGACTACTGGTCTTTCTAGCTGATGGGATTGCTTTGGGGTAAGTCTTTCCCAACCCTGCAACTTGCAATTCATTGAATTATGGTGTGGAGCAGGAACTGAACCTGGGTCTCCTCCAGAAAAGGTATAAATAAATGACAGCTGCAGATAATTGAATTGGAGCATTTATTTTGTGGGTAACCAAAGAGAGTTACCATAATTAATAATCTACAAGGAACATCAATTAATAAATGAGTTTAAAATTAATAAAATGTGACATTAGACCTACCATGAAGGTTCCTTTTCTGCAGGGAATGGAAGGGATCCTTGCATGGGTTGTCCCTCTCACTCGCTCTACTAAGCAGGAATATGCAAATTAGAGCTGTTCTTACCTTGCAGCAGGAGAGCGAGCTCTCCTGTTGAAGGTATCCAAGCTCAAGTCTACAGAGATCAAATGGTCAAAAAAACAACTGATCCAGAGAAGAGAATTGAAAAAACTAAAAAATAAATGAGCTGATTAGAGAGAAAACAAACAAGAAAAGACAACAGGAAAAAAGCAATAAGCTTGCAGTGGAGATCAAACTCAAATCTCTTAGGGTGGGCAATTCCCCTTCATTCCCTGCAGAAAATGAACCTTCTGGGTAGGTCCAATGTCACATTTTCCTGCAGTGAGGAGGGGAGCCTTGACTGGGATATGCCAAAGCTTAACTGACATGGGGGATCAAGATGTGGGGCTGCCACTTTACTGAGAAACTACCTGTTCTAATACCCTCCTACTGAAGGATTTCTTTGCAGAAGCATCCATGTCGAACTTGTAATGTTTACCAAAGGTTGAAGCTGCCCTGCAATGTCTCCTAGCTGCAGCTAGTGCACAATGCTGCAGTACAATTGCTGACAACAAGAGGCCTATTCAGCATATAACACCCATGTTCAGAGATCTACACTGGTTGCCAATTTGCTACTGGGCCAAGTTCAGAATGTTGCTATTAGCATATAAAGCCCTTAACAATTTTGGACCAGTTTACCTACAAGATCGCCTTATCCCACGTGCCCACTTGACCACTTCAATTGGTGGAATTGGCACTACTGTAGGTGCTACATAATACCCATCCCGCAATTCTTTAGTGTGGCAGCACCTGCACTTTGAAACTCCCTGCCTATTGAGATCAAGCGAGTGCCTTCACTGTCCACTTTTGCGCCTGCCAAAAAAAAATCAAAAATCCTGTGTAGACAAGCCTACCTAGATGCTTAGAAAGCTGAGATAATTTTAATGTTTTAGTATTTTAACTTTCGTATGTTTGTAAGCATGGTTGCGATTTTTTCTCGATTTTACTGTTTGCCTTTTGGCAAACCCCTTTCGAGGGTTTTTGTTTTTTTTAAAGAACCAAGCGGTGTACAAATTTTGGGAAATAAATTAATGAAAGTACTGCAGAGGCCTTCAAGCTGCTGGGGTTGTGGGAGTGTTGAGGTGGGGGGGGGACAGGCTTCCCTAAAAGACAGCTTGCCTACCGCTCTGACTTCCCTTGTACAGCACCAGCTACATGGGAACGTCGTGGTGGGTGGGGCTGAGAATTACAAATGAGCGTCATTTCCGGGGGAAGAGGAAAAAAATCGTTTAAACGGAAATGCCGCTCTACCCTCCGAATCTCCATGATGCCCTGCCCTCTTTCTTTGTCTGTTTCCCCGAACGCTCCCATGGGGAGCCGCAACAACCACCAAAGTACGTTTTGCCCAGTTGTGGGTTCTGGAGCTTTCCCCGCCTTCCTGGCCACGTCATGGATCACGTCACGCTTTTTTTAAATGGCCAAAAGCCTGTTGTTTTTACCAGTCCAAGTAAAGCCTGAATGTTCTTCGCAGGTGTATAGCTCTATGGCCCTTTCTCGCGTTCGGCTTCTTGGCGTAGAAAGCGTCAGTCGCGATTGGCTCTTTCTTGCTTTCTCTCTCCCGGAAGTACCTGGGGAACTTCCGGAGGCGGGACCAGAGTGTTGGAAGGAGGCCTCGGCTGGGTGAAGGTACGCGCAGCTGCCCAGATCAAAACAAAAGGGGTGCGGGGGGAGGGGGCAGTTGGCACCGGCTTCTTCCTTTCATTCCCTTTGAACCTTTCCTCTTCTGCTTGCTAAAGGAACAGGGGTGGGTAAATCCGAATTAGGCTGTTCTCACTGAGGCGGAGTGAATCCGAATCGAGCAGTCCTCACCGGAGCGACGCTTCAATAAGTTTGGGCGCCTGCGGCCCGTCGTGCAAAACCTACGTGTGTTCCCAATCGAGAAACGGAACGGAAACCGCGTCGCTTTTTCACTTTGTTTTCCCCGGTTTTTTCATACGCGAGGACGGAATCGGTTTCCTGTCTAGGTTTGGAGCACTTCAGAATGCCGCTCTTCCTAACACGCGTGTGTTTGTGTGTGTGTGTGTGTGTGTGTGTGTGATTTTAATGCTGCAACCCTAAGCTTCGTGGCTGAGGAGCAAACTTCATTGACCTCAGTGGAACATCTGGCTTCAGTTGTGCGTGAAAGGCGCAGGCAGTTCTTTGTAACCCCGGTGAGGAAAAGCAGGACAGGCAATGGCGCTCATTCTCTATACAGTATGCAGTACCTTAAGTCACATTAAAGGCTGAAATCGCAGGTGCATTTACTTGGGAATAAGCCCTACTGGAAGACTATTAAGGAAACTTGCCTAGGCTGTAATGTTTTGTGTAAATGGCTTCTGAAGATGGGGTATTTTATCCATTCTATTGAGTTTGTAAGAATTTCCATCTTCCGATGGGATGGGCAGAATAAATTAGGGGGAATCCATGATCTTACTGTTGGACTGATTTTGCTGTATAATGGGATCTCACACACACTGATTAGGTCACATTATTGAAACGGGGAGCAAATTCAGATCTACTTTGTTAAGGGCCTGCTTTCCCCATTTGAGAGCGTGCTGGAGCAGCATCTAGCCCATAGCACAGAACCATTTGCCCTTCAGAGGCTTGAGCCGAGATCTTTCCATCACCTGCTGCCTAATCCTTTCCATCTATAGGGGTGCTTGGAGTTGAACTTGGGAGCATCTTCATGCACACTGAGTTCTGGTACTTCTCCCATCTCCCCAATTTAGCCATTTCAGGGAAGCGCTCCCTTTCCACTCATGTGTGAGTAATCAGATCTTACTTTGTTTTATTTTCTCACATGAATCAAACTGGCCATGTGTTGGAACGAATATACAGGCTAAATGAGCATATAAGGAACCTCAGGACCAGGGCCTTATGCAGCCCTCCAGGAATCAGTCTGCTCCTCCTAGCCATACATTCCACTGGCCTTCACACCCTCCTTGAATGTTTTTGTCTGCATGGAATGTGTCTTTGCATTCTGAAAATGACGCTCGCTTGCTTGCTTGCTTGCTTGGATGGAGGACAGAAAGGGATGTGTGTAGAAATTAGCCTACTATAGAAAGGTGGCATTTACACTGGTTGCTTGGTCCACTTTTGCCTCTGGTGCCTACTCACCACTGATACGGGACATATGGCCTTGAAGCTGAAAAAGGTTCTCCCTCCCTGCATTAAGTCATACTCTTAAGTAATGCCATTGGAATCAATGAATTTGACTAACTTTAAGTCCCTTGATTTCAGAATATGTCTTAGTCAGATGCTGAAGCACAGCCTGAATATCAATTGTGTTTGTATTGCTCTCTCTCTTCTTCCACCCCTTGCCCTTTGCAGAGTTTTCTTGAAGCAAAGAAAAAGCAGCACCTACCGGGTACTCTATTCACCAAACATCCTAGCATAGCTGCAGGGTTGGCAAACAGCCGTGTTGTGGAAAATGGCCACCAAGGTGAATGAGCAGAGCCTAGATGCATCCTGCAGTGACCCTGCAAAGGAGAGGGATCCAGGTAACACCAACATGGCTGAGCATCAGGACTTGGATAGAGGCGAGGCCAAAGCAGCTGGTGAGTGTTCAGGAGGAGGAGCTGAACATTCGGAGATGACGCAGCAGCCTACGGATCAGCGTCAAGCCCCAAGGCTGCAGGTAAAACAAGAAGAGAAACCAAAAACTGAAAAATCCTTGGTGCCGCCTGCTGCAGAGGCTTCTGTGTCAGTTCCAGTGCTGCCCTTGGGAGAAGGGAAAGGGGCAAAGCGGATGATGGAGGATGATGATGGTGATGATGACATCTTTAAAGAAATGCCGGATGTCTGCCAGGAGGCCAGAGAGCCAGGAAGGGCCATGCTCCTGCCAGATCTCTTTGGGGAGGCTCAGCAGGCTCATAGCAGCCTGGCTGCTGGCCGGGCTGGAGGATGTGCCAAGTTGGAGCAAGCCATCCCATGCCTGCCGAACGTGGGCTCCGAGAACCAGCGCAAACGCTTCCGGGGTTTTGCCTACAAAGAGACTGAAGGGCCCCAAGTGGCCTATGAGCGACTCCAGGAACTGCTGTTCCAGTGGTTGAAACCAGAGGCCCGCAGCAAGGAGGAGATTGTGGAGCAGTTGGTGCTCGAGCAGTTCCTGAACCTCCTCCCAGAGGATGTCCAGCGCTGGGTTCGGGAACGTCACCCTGAAAATGGGGATGAGGCTGTAGCCCTGGCAGAAGACTACCAGTTTCTGCACCCTGAGCCTGGGAGACGGCCCTACCCAGAAAGGGCAAGGCAACGGTCTTCAGCAAGGAGTTGGCTCCGCTGAAGTCACTGAATCGGACAAGCAGGACTGGTTATTGGTAGGTAGCAGGAAGCAACTATTATTAACTCAGTACATTGCTTACATTTTCTTCGGGGTCTGTTAGTAGTAACATTGCAGTGCACCTGCATTGAATGGGTTCTAAGCAACCCTTTTGACCTGCATGTGTGCTGAATTCTCCCCAGCACTTCACAAGATGGTGAAGAGCCAAGCTGTTAAGAGCTCCTCCTATGAATGCTTGGTTGCCATTATGGGTTCTCTCTATTTACAGCTTCTGGCAGTGATGATCTGATGAAATGTTAAAAACTAGATTTTATAAGGGCTGTGCATGTGACTTTGAGATGCACAGGAATTTTGACTGACAAAGCGGGAAGTAAATACCTAGGGACTACCAGAAACCCCTTATCGCTTATTACACAGTGAAAGTAGCCAAGGAAACACAGGCATCTTTTGAAGTTTCTGCTACATGCTGCAGAGGCAACCCACTTTTTAAGATGGAAAATGTGAACAACTCTGTGTGCGCAGGTTTAACTGACTTGTGAGTGTATAACTTCACTGACTTTCAGCCACAAGAGGAGCCATTGAATCTTTAACTGGGCTTCCCATGTATGGTGGTCATAGGCTAAGAAAATATGGTTGTCTGTGAAGAACAAACCAAGACAGCTATCCTCCGTGTGCTGATGTTTTGAGATCCACATGGTATCCTAGTTTTTTTTCTTAATGCAGATACAAATACACTGGTAATCAGCATCCTTATACCTGAGAGCTTTAAAATAACTCTGCTGGTCTGTGTCAAAGGCTGGAGGGAGGGAATTGGCAGCTGGAAAACAGATTTTGGGAGCTATCATCAGAGCCTGGTTTTTGGCTGGTCTTGTGGTATATATATGTTTTAGAATTTGGGGGGGGGTGCAAAATTACCTGATGACAGTGTGTCACAATGGATGGAACAGCCATCTTCCCAGATAGTGCTCTCCAGATATTTCTGGACTACCACTCCCATCACCCGAGGCCATTGGCCATCCTGGTTGGGGCTGAGGGGAGCTGGAGTCTCCACAACATCTGGATGGCTAAAGGTTGGGGACAGGCAGGTTTAGAGTGTTAGATTAGGGCCAGGGAGGCCCAGGTTCAATTCGGCGATGAAGCTCTCTAGGTAACTTGTGCCAGGCACTATCATCATAACCTACCTTATAGGGTTGTTAGGATAAAACAGGCAGGGTGGAGTGGAGAAACTCATGGATGCTACCCTGACTTAATTGAAGAAAGGGCAATAAATAAATAAATTTTGGTCCAAAGAGGCATTAGTCTGGTTTGCACATCACATTAAATTCACACCAGCTCATTCACATTAAACCACAGTTTTTGCCTGTGGTTTAGTGTGACGTGAACCAGACCATTGTAAAAAAAGTCTAATCTGCTGCTTTGTTGCTTTGTACTTAAAGTGTTACTCTTAGGCTAGTGTATTTATTCACGTAAGTAATAGATAGATGATACCTATAATTAAGGATTAGGCTGTCCATCTCAGGTGGCAGGATTAGGAATATCTTCAAAGGACAGCATATGGTCAGCTACAGAGTATCGTGGTTTTCTGTGCACACCATTTCACCTGGCTGCTTTGAACATCTGGATGTATTTGGCCAGCTCTACATTTCTGGAATTGTTTACCATTTCTGATGAGTCCTTGGTTTTCCTTACAGACTGAGAGAATCAAAGACCTAGTTATCTACCAAGCCGAGTGGGGGAAGCCTAAATGGGCCAGAGGAACTCAGAAATCACAGTGCAGTTGCCGAGCATGAAAAGACCTTTACACAGCCTTTCCCTGCACGGAGACCATTCACTGGAGCAGAACCCTTCACATCATCTGACTTTTTTTGTGTGTATACATAACGGGGAGAAGAAGGGGAATTTCAAAATCTTGCTTGGTCCTTTTTGCAGCTTAAAGAATGCCCTCTGTCCACTAATGCTATAGGAATAAGTTGGAGAAAGGACAAAGCATGAAGGGAACTTCAGAGCTTTTCAAAAGGGGTGGGGGGGTGGGCATGACTTTGGAATGTATGTACATATGAGCATTCTGATAGGATGCAGAAGGGAAGGGTCCTGTGATGAAAATGATACCTGCCAGTCTGCCTCAGGTTGGTCTGAGGCATCTGAGTCACCTTTTCCTCACCTCTTCCCCCACTCCTCAAATAGTCTCCCATGCCCTCCTCCCATCAGTTTATGATTGGCAAGATAATGTTTCCCCCTGATTCCCCTCCTTGCTTTGTGTTCAGAGGGGTGCCTCTTAATTTGGAGATATGGCCTGCCCTGCTCATCCTGTCAGAATTTGTGTGGGAAATCTTGAAAAGTCACCTTGTACCACTCCCAAGACATTTTGTGTGGCAGGGCAGACTTTGAACACCTTTGGGGAATTCAGGGCTTCTGCCACAGGCCTAGCTCCTCACTACACCCAACAGCCCTATAAACTGAAGCAAACTCTGTATGTTGCAGGTACAAGGCAGTTGTTGCTGTCAAACACTTCCACATCATGCAAGCCCCACTGTTGCCCATGTAGTTTGCCTTGATTGTGCGGTGATTCCCCTTGTCATTGCTCTACCTCCCTCAGAGCTGCTGGCATGGAGATTGCCATGCAGTCTGGCAGACCTACATGGGATTCTCATGTTGTATCCATGAAGAGTCTAGCCACTCAAAAGCATTTTGATAATGACTGGCCTCATAACCCACAGAATTCTCCCTCCTTGCTTGTAACTTTTTTTCAGTGGTTTATCAATGGATTTGGAGCCTGCAGTACTTACCTGTGAGCCAAAGTAGTCACAATTTGACGAACCAGCTGTTTGCTGGAGATCAAGCATTCTTCAGTGCTTCAAGCTGGGCTTTGTTTCTGCAACATATTTGAGGAATGGAGTGGGAAGGGAAGGGTCTTTTCTGCGGCTCCCCCCAGGTTTGTATTAGTGTGTTGAAATGGGAGCAAAGTGTTTTCTTGCTTGTAGAAACTAGGTTTTTGATACTCGTCCTGATGTGATGTAGCTTCTGCTTTCGCCTTGTATCAGGTGAACTTTAGCCCTGCTTTCATTTGTGTAAATTTCTGGTGTGTGTGTATGTCCGTGGATGAGCACATGTAATAAAGGATCTTTCCCCCACAGTGGTCTGGAGTTACCGTCCCTTCTGCTGCAGAATTCCTATTTTGAGCTCTTCCCAGTCACTTCACCATATTCAGAGAATAGGGGTTTTGAGTAGACTTGAATGCTAGAGGCTACTTAATCCTGTCCAACATTGAACACCCTCCAAATAACAACTTGTGCTTGAGATGCTGATGTATGCAGCCATAGAGGAAATTATAGCCCTTGATAAACCTGGATTTGTCCAGTACTTTAGAAAAACCTGTTTCAACTAGCTGCTGCTGCTACAGTTCTCAAAAGCAAATTCCATCAGTTAATTACAGATTTTATGAGAAGGTTCAACTTTTGGCTGTCCTAAATCTGCTTTTGAACAAGTTCTGGGCGAGCAAAGCACTTTTAAGTCCCATTAATTTCAATGGGAAAGTTATCTGTCAGCACATTCCATTCTGTGGAACTAGAAGTGCTGAATATTGGCTTGATCTTGCACAATGTGATTCATATAACCATTCCTTTAAATCTCTCATTAAAATCTGCTAAATAATTTGGAAATTTGTCCAATCTCTGCATTTGGACACCTTTGAAGATACCATAAACCACCTTTTTCATGATGGTTCGAGATCAAAGAGCAGGTTTTCATCTATATCCATATAGATGAAAACCATTGGATGCCATTTTGAATCAAGATAGTGGACTTAAAATGCAGAATTTTTGGTTTCTTAGAAACCAAACTCCACATTATCAGCTTTCCAACTGCACACATGCACACACAAAAATCTTCCACATTTTGTGTCCAACCACACGCTAAAAAGGTTGCAGGTTCAATCCCGGTATGGGACAGCTGTAGTTACAGGGAGTTGGACTAGATGATCCTTGGGGTCCCTTCCAACCCTTATGATTCTAAAAAACACCACACCTTCCTGCACAGACTGAAATTAGGCTTGGAAGAAGCACTGTTGTAGCCAACCTAATAGGTTGTGGGGGCAGACAGTTCTCAACACTTTCTCTGGTATGCAAGAATGCCCATGGACCCAAAACAAGCTGGCCGCCTCTGATCTACACAAAAAGATAAAGCACATTCCAACTGAGGCAACGTTTCCAAACCATGAGAACTTTAAAAAGTCTTGCCATAAGTTGAGATCCCCAAAGATTTTTCTAAAGAATCAGAGCAGGACTAATTGATACATGTGTTTTGCTTCTGCCAGCTGCAGCTCGCTCCCTTGCCACTGCAGCTGTTTCACCAACCAGCTATTTCCTCCCTCTGTTTCTCTTCCTGTGATTACTTATTTCTCCTTTTGGCTGCTGCCACATGAGAGATCATTTCATTCCCCCCCCCCCCCCCAGTTTCTAATTGTAGGCCAAAGAGGTGTGTTTTTTATTGGCATCCTGGGATTTAGCCTTTTCAGGCACCTGGTGTGTGTTACAGTCTCACAGAGATGCTTCAGATTGCAGAGGAACAGGAAGAGTGCCGCTTAATTAGCCTCCCCTTAGAGAGCTTCTAGCAGGCACAAATAATTCCAATTTTTAAAGGTATTTGTTTTTATGGCGCTAGGAAGTTAAATTTGTCGAATCGGTTTTTGCTGGCGTTAAGCAGACAAGACATCTGAGTAACACAAAACTCTGCAGGACATTGTTAGCTGACCTTAATATGGCAGTCCTTGAGCGACAGGACTTCATAGGGAAATGGCAGTGTGAGTCTATTAAATTGCCATACGCCAAAAGGCTCTATTGAGGATCAAATCAAAGCAATGGATTTTTAAATCACACTACATGTGTTAATTGAGAAGAAATACCATGCTAAAACATGTTAAGCTAAGGGTGCTGAACCTTTTTTTCAGACTTGAGTGCTATTCTCCCACCTAAGCAACCTTCCAGGGGCCATAGGCTAGTAATGGGCAAAGGCAAAAGTGGGCATAAATTCTATCTCCTTATACAGTGGTGCCCCGCAAGACGAATGCCTCGCAAGACGAAAAACTCGCTAGACAAAAGGGTTTTCCGTTTTTTGAGTCGTTCCGCAAGACGAATTTCCCTATGGGCTTGCTTCGCAAGATGAAACGTCTTGCGAGTTCTTGCGTGTTTGTTTCCTTTTTCTTAAAGCCGCTAAGCCGTTAATAGCCGCTAAGCCGTTAATAGCCGCTAAGCCGCTAATAGCCGTGCTTCGCAAGACGAAAAAACCGCAAGACGAAGAGACTCGCAGAACGGATTAATTTCATCTTGCGAGGCACCACTGTAGTAGCCTGGTTTCTACACACACCCCTTTCTATTCTCCATGGAGGCAGGCAAGAATCAATATAGGCAGCCATATTCCAGTCAGACAAGGAGGATACAAAGTTGGGGCTGCTGAGGGGTGTGGCCTGAGGAGAGTCCCATGAGCCAGATAGAGGGCTCGAGGGCCACACTTGATTTAGGCCAATGCAGGCTAAATAGTGCCTTAATTAACAAAAATCACACAGGACACAAAATCCCTAGGAGTTAAGGTCAAGTCCGTCTAGTACCAGCCAAAGACATTTTGCTGCCTGAGGCAGCCTGACACAGAGCAGCAACTTGACCAACCACCAGCAAGTCACAGTACCCATAAGAACCCAAGGCCAGTCAAGCTAATTTCATATTGTACCTGAGTCAAAACAAAACAAAATCCCACAAGGATCACTTGCCCCTCCTGGGACCTGGGTGCCAGAGGATGGATTCTCTGTGGGGCCAGCCACTTGAAGCTGTGGGGCCTAGGGAAGGAGGGCCCCATGAAGGCCTCCCTCAGCACCTGAACAGGTGTGGCCACTGAGAAAGGGTTTGACTAGCCCCCAAACCAGGGGACCAGGTTGGCTCAGTCTATCTGTACACTATTTAACTGTACTTAGTTAATATTTAAAGCCTAGAGGAAGGCTAGACCAAGGCATTCTACTGATGGAGAGCAGCAAATGGTCTTGCCCAAGTCAAGGTACATATTATCCAAGGCTGGTCTGGATATTTTAGCACCGAAGGCGGAAAATCGCACATGTGCCTCTCTCCTTCCCTGTCAGGTAATGTACAATAATAATAATAGCTTAAATAACAATGGGCTGCTCTTTCACGACAATCAGCTGCCTGAGGCAACTGCCTAGTGACTGAGACTAAGTCTACAGCCCCATGCAAAAGCAGGAGGGTAAGTCCCACTGAAAAAAGTGGCACTTACTTCTAAGTATACATGCACAGAATGGAGCTGTGTATGAGGTAAGCCAGTGAGAGCCAGCATGGTGTCTTAGAAAAGTTTTGGACTACAATCCCTATCAGCTCCAGCTAGTATGGTGAATGGTCAGGGATGATGGGAGTTGTAGTCCAAAATGTCTGGAGGGCACCACTTTGGGTACCGTGAGTTAAGTCCTCCCTTCATGACACAACTAGCTCTTCGAGGCTTAAGAACAATTAATTGGTTCATCCTGGTTCCTGGTTCTGATACATCAAAGATGACTAATCAGACGTTCTTCCTTATCAAGTTTCTGTTCTTGAGGATAAGATTAAGCCTCGGGGATAAGCACATTTAGAGGGGGAAGACGCTATTCTACATCTCCTTGTCAGGGCTGTCTGCCAACTGCACCGGATCAGAAAATGAGATGGGCACTTAAATTCTGCTGATTACTTTATTTTTCAGGTGTTAGCTTTCAGGGCAAGAAGATGTTGGAAACGATGGTTGTTACGTAATCAGAAGATTCAATATTTTAGCACTGAGGGAGGGAATAATTCATGCATCACAACAATAGGACCACCAACCTATGCTCATTCTCTTGGGAACAGGTCTCATTTGATTTAGTGTGACTTACTGTTAAGTAAATGTGTACCAGATCAGGATTTCAAGGTGGGGCATGGTGTTGCACAGCACCATCCTCTCCATGTTTACTTAAAGTAAGTACCACCGTGTTCAATGAGTCTTACTCCCAGGATAAAATATGCCTAGGCCTGCAGTCTTAAGGCATGGAGGAAAGGAGGCAGTTGCAGCTAAGTTATTCCCCCTCATGTTGCTCAAGAGGTTTCTACTGGAATATTCCATCCTTACAGGCACCAGACTTAAATGTATTCTCCTCTATAGTAGTATGGATCCAGTCAAGAAATTTGCAGATCTTGATGTAGATGCCAGGTTCACCAGGCTGAGCGCAAGGGAAGCCCCCCAAAGAGACCACACCTTGGAGGCCTCCATCACCACAGAGAAGGGGTCCCCCAGAATCACCCTGTTGAGAGAACAAATGATTAGCTATCACAAGAAATATAAGAAGAGCCCTGCCGGATCAGTGCAAAGGCCTGTCTAGCCCATCATCCCATTTCCCACAGTGGCAGGGCCAGCCCATCCATGAGGCAAGGTGAAGCAACTACCTCAGGCGGCAGGATCCATGGCGCAGCAGATCTTGATGTAGATCTTTATTCCCCCCGCCCCTTGTTCCTGATGTAGAGCTTCACCCACCCCTTCTTCCCTGGCAGGGAGGGAGGCACCATTTTGTGGTTCGCCTCAGGTGCCAAAATGTCCTGGGCCAGCCCTGCACAGTGGAAACCAGATGCTTCTGGGAAGTCCACAGGTGGGGCACAGATACATTAGCCCTCTCCTACTCATGTTCCCGAGCATCTGGTCTTCAGAGGCAAAGCTCACTTCCAGGTGGCCTACTTATTGAGCACCCATCTTGATTTTTTTGTTGCATCAAACAAGGATCACCACACACTTTCCAATGTATTTTCCCTTCACTTTCCTTATTGCAAAAAGTCTGATCTTCTGGGGAAGCAGCTGTGTTTTGCAAGAATGCCAAAACAACTTTAATTGTACGGCCTGAATTTGTTGGTATGTGATTGAATCTCATGCCCAAAAAGTGGAAGTCTGGAAGCAACCATAGTGCCATTGCTAGCTGTACCCTCTATAAACCAGCTCCACCTAGTTTGCTCTACTGCCCATTCACATTCCCACTTGTTTCTCCTGCTAAGGCTTCCAGACAGCTGCACAGATATGTGTGACAAAAGGACCTTATGGCCAGGGCTTTTCTTCAGGGGGAACTCACAGGAACTCAGTTCC